CGTACAGTTGACGCATCTTATACTCCATTACGCGTTTCGCCTGGTCGGACTACTTTAAGTGACGTCAGAATTCAGCCAGTCGGCCTTCTTTATTTCGGTGGTAACGGTAACAAGCGCTTTTCTAACTGTCTTGGAAGTTCGGAAATTTGTGAAAAATCAAAGAAATCTGAAATTAAATGTGCCAGTTTTTAACGTGTTTTTGAACTTTTTTCCGTGTTCCTGAAATTGAATTTTGAAACATTCTTCAAATATTTTGCCCTATCAAAACTTACATTAGGGTGGAATTTTGTAATCGCTTAAATGAGAAAAGTTCAATGTTTTGAAGTGGGAAATTTGAAATTTCTGCAGGTTTGTCACGTGCTTTAGAACTTTTTTGGCTGGAAATGATGTTTTTAAAAATTTGCGTTTAAAAGTAAAAGTTAATTGAATTTTGGTATCGTTCAAATGAGGAAAGTTCGATCTTTAGAAACTGAAAATTTCAAATTCCTGCACGTTTTCGCCAGTTTTTACGTGTTTTGAACATGAGGCTGGAGATGACAATTTCACACGTTTTTGAAAAATTTGTCTGCCAAAACAGGGATTTGATTTTGGCATCGCTTAAATAACCCCTCGTCCAGGACTCACGGAATTTCCCAATGAAGTGCCCGAAAAGCGTTGTGTCGCAAAATCTGAAATTTTCTAAAAGCCCCAAAACCAACCCATTTCTTACCTCATTATCGACCAAATCCAGGATATTGAAGTCAGTCCCCATCTGAACAACCTCATCAATAACATCTGGTGTGTTTAAGGTCGATATCGCCTCCTCTTTGATGGGAAACTTGAACCGTTCAGCCATCAGATTGAGCCTCAACGTATGCTGAAGCTGTTCTTTTCCTGTAGGTTCGGGCTGTAGATTGGCTGGCGACGATATGTAGGAATATCGGTCGTCTTGAGGCGAGGTGGTAGTTGAGTTAAAATGATTGTTTGAACTTAAATTAGTGCTATATAAACGCGGCTGATTGATGGCCGTATTATCTTGAAGGAAAACCGGGCTGTAAGCGCCTTGATTGTACAAAGACTGGGCAAATGGCTGATATAAATACATCTCGGACTGTTCATTGCCCAACGAACAACAGTTTTCCTTGGTGTGGACTTGATTATCCGCGGATAGATTCAAATCTGAGTACGAATAGTGTTGGAGTGTTTCGACTTTTACTTTTGGGTTTGCTTTGATCTTGTCCGGTTTAGCGGGTGTTGATTGTTGTGGAAATTTAAACGCCTCTTTATCTGCAACCAAAAAGCACCCATTCATTGACTGATAGCTCAAGTAAACGCTGAAATCACTAACCGAATACTGGGGTGTTCAGTTCATCTGTAGAGTCGATGAACTCTACATTTGCGCCCATTAAAAGAGCTGAAAGATCGCTGAATTCCTCCATTTTTAGCGGGTTTTGCGTGGTTACATCCTCGCTTGGGTTTACACTCACCTAAAACAGCATAAAATCATTAGATTAAAACACGAAACTTCTAGGGCGAATTTTTCGCAAGTTGGTCTACAAAATCAGCGTTTTTTTATTTTCTATTATCTAATAGAAAAATACGTGCTTCTTATCAGTGTGTTTAAGCCTCCGTCCCGCGATGTTCTTGTGATGCAAAGCACTTTTTATTAAGTTTATTCATTATAATAGATTAAAGTTCTACTTAGTTCACTTCGAATGTGATCCATACATAGCAAGAAACACGCTTTCACCTGATGCGCTGATGCTGCTTGTTGTAGACCACAAAACCTATCTGGAGAAAGAAAAATACGGGCATGAAATATGGGCTTTAGCATGAAAATTCGCCAATAAATATATACGAAGATTCTTGTTCCGAACTAGCTAATTTCAGACTGAATGAGAGTCCATAATGCTTAAACTTTTTATATTGAGGACTATGACGAGCAGAAGCTTATCTCGTTATTGATGAATCAGCGCTTGAAACATATCGAGACCAGTTTCAAAGGTGCATTATCGAAATACATTTAGGTTTTTTAGGCTCCTGGTTTGTTTGGTATAGGGGTTTTGGTCAAAGAGATCCTAGAAAGTCACTATTATGTTAGGAAAGGTGGTTGGGTCTGCAAATCTATTGGGTTAGTTGAGCTGAAAACTTTTTTTGGGTTTACTAGACGAGAGACGGATTTAGCGACTTCAGCAGGCGATAAAGCAAGGTTTTTGCTGATTATGCTGCGAATTTAGTTGCGTTGATTCAAGCGGTTTTATCAGAATTCATTTTTGAAGCTTGCTGCTTATGACGCGATTGTCTGTTTTTGCATTATCTTGATAACAGGGCCAGAAATCGATATGCCGACTTCAACGTGCGGTGAACTAAGGTTGTTTTGCATATTTTTCGAATTAAGTTTGTTGCGGTAATTAATGTGGTTTTTTCAAAATTAATTTTTAGACTTTAAGACTCTTGGTGTGGTTATTTGGTTTTTGTAATGCAAAGATCAAAACGTGGTTTTTTCATAAATAAGCAGAAAATTGACAAGAGGAGTTGAACATTCGATAGAAGACTGTTGTGCCTGAATTTTCTGCAAATTTTGTTGGGGTAGTTGGTACGGTTTTTTCAAAATGAATTTTAGAAGTTTGACGCTCTTGGTGCGGTTTTCTGGCTGTGCCTTGCGAGGTCCCGAATGCGTTTTTTCCATATTCAAGCAGGAAATTGACAAGGGGACTTGAAAATGCGGTAGAAGAAGATTACGTTTGAATTTCCTGCGAATTTTGTTGCGGTTGTTCATGTGGGTTTTTCGGAATTATTTTTTGAAGTTAACATTTTTCGTGCGTTTTTCTGGTCTTAGAAATGCAAAGTTCTAAATGTGTTTGTTCCACAACCAAACATAAAATGGACAAGACGAGTTGACAAGAAGACTGTTGTATCTGAATTTCTTGCAAATTGCGTTGCTGTAGTTGATACGGTTTTCTGAAAATTAATTTTAGAAGTTTGGCGACGCTCTTGGTGCGCTTTTCTGGCTGTTGCCTGGCGAGGTTCCGAATGCGTTTTTTCCATATTCAAGCAGGAAATTGACAAGGCGACCTGAACATGCAATAGAAGAAGATTGCGTTTGAATTTCCTGCGAATTTTACTGCGGTTGTTCATGTTTTTTTTCGGAATGAATTTTTGAACTTTTCTGGTTTTATAAAAACAAAGTTCAAAATGCGGTTTTTCCATAACCAAGTGTAAAATTGACAAGACGAGTCGAACATTCGATAGAAGACTGTCGTGTCTGAATTTTCTGCAAATTTTGCTACTGTTGTTGGTACGGTTTTTTCAAAATGAATTTTTGAAGTTTGACGCTCTTGGTGCGGTTTTCTGCCTGTTGCCTGGCGAGGTTCCGAATGCGTTTTTTTCCATATTCAAGAAGGAAATTGACAAGGCGACTTGAACATGCAATAGAAGAAGATTGCGCTTGAATTTCCTGCGAATTTTGTTGCGGTTGTTCATATGTTTTTTTTCGGAATGAATTTTTGAACTTGACGCTTTTTGTGCGTTTTTCTGGTTTTAGAAATGCAAAGTTCTAAATGTGTTTTTCCATCAACAAGCAGAAAATTGAGAAGACGAGTTGAACATTCACTAGAAGACTGTTGTGTCTGAATTTCCTGCAAATTTTGTTGCTGTAGTTGTACGGTTTTAAAAAAATTAATTTTAGAAGTTTGACGCTCTTGGTGCGGTTTTCCCCGTTGCCTTGCGAGGCTCCTAGTGCGTTTTTTCCATATTCAAGAAGGAGGTTGACAATGCGACCTGAACACGCAATAGAACAAGATTACGTTTGAATTTTCTGCGGATTGTGTTGCGGTTGTTCATGTGGTTTTTTCAGAATTAATTTTTGAACTTGACGCTTTTTCTGCGTTTCTCTGGTTTTTGAAATGCCAAGACGCTTTGAATGTGTTTTCCATGGGCAAGCAGGAAATTGGCAAGACGACTTATCCTGTAAATTTAGTTACGTTCATTTAAACGGTGTTGTTTTAATGATTTTTTGAATTTTCCTGCTGACAAAACGAATATCGTTCCGTGATTTGCAGCCCCAACATCGATGAAATCAATTAGCAATCGCATGAAAACAAGCAATTAAAACCGTTTCAGCCACCCTACCTGTTGATCCATAATGGTGTTTTGTGGGCGTGTAGTGGCGATCGGATTGATTTCGTAGGGATTCACGAATTTCATCGTCTCCAAATCGCAGAAGTCCTCTTCGTAATCGTGCATAGCCGATTGATTGGTTTGATTGATCGAATAAAATCTGTGTTGCGGATCGAATGTTGTGGCTGGAGGTTTCTCGCCATGATGCAGCTTGAGCAGGGACAGATTTGGTGAATGGCATCTTGCAAGGAACTGAAATCCACAAACAAAACATACACATGAAAAATCCGCCACCTGGAAACTCGTGGGCTTCAATTTACTTACATTAGATTCGCCTTTTGTAGGTGCGGAAATTTTTCTAGCCTTTGGGCCCTACCAGAGGAAGAGTTGAGGTTGTGCAACACCCAACCTATAAAAGAATTTTGGAAAGTTAGGCTTTTATCTACCGTGTCAAATGCAGAATAGATTATAGGTTTTGTTGGTAACCAGAAAAGAGAGGTTCAAGAACCTTACAAGGTTCTGAAATCGTTTTTTCTTGAACCAGACAACAGATTGACGTTCCAACTCTTGCAGGAGATTAAGGAAGGTTTTCGATTAATCTCCTGAAAATTTCGTTGCGTTGTATGGAATAGTTTTTCCAAAATTAATGTTTGAATGTTGTGGTTTCTGCGCGGTTCCGTTTTTTTCTCTTTCAAGGCTCTAATTTTGTTTTTTCTTTAACCAAGGAAGATATTGAAATGCCGACTTCAGCAAGAGATTAAGGATGGATTTATGTAAATTCCCCGCAGATTTCGTTGAATGAAACGGGTTTTAAAAAAAAAATCAATGTTGCCGCTGTCGGTGCGGTTTTCTGTTTTTCTCCTTGCAAGATTCTAAGTCTTTTTTTCTATTACTCGGCAAGATATCGACTTCCCAGCTTTAATACCAGATTAGGAGACTTTCGGTGAATAATCTGCAATTGTTTTAATCCGCTGATGGATTTTTAAGTGCCTTTTCTAAGTTCGTTTCTTCTGGAAATAGGCAAGATACCGAAATGCCTAGTTTAGCAGGAAATTAAGGAATGTTCCCAGTCAATCTGCTGCAAATTTCATTGAGTTGAATAAAGGTGTTTTTCCAAATTGAATTTTTTAATGTTGTCACTCTGGTGCGCTTTTCTGGGATTTTTTTTTGCTTTTCAAGGTTCTAAATCGGTTTTTTTCTAAAACCAAACAATATCTAAATATTCCGAATGCAGCAGGAGATCAAGGACGGTTCCGAAAGAATCTTCGTAAAATTTCGTTTCGAGTTGAATAGTTGTTTTTTCAAAATTAATTTTGGGAATGTTGCCGCTCTGGGATCAGTTTTCTGTTTATAAGTTAGAAGTTGATAAGTGCGGCTTAAATTTTTTTCTTTTCTCTCTTGCGTCCATATAATAATGAGGTGCCAAGCCCTAAAAGCTTCGTTTAGCACGTTTTGGCTCGGGAAATTAGAGCACGTGTGCTAATTTCAATTAAAAAAAATAAGCGGCTTTGAACCTAAACCGATAAAAATGGTGCTGATGTAACTACATTTTATCTGGGCAATTTTCCCTTAAAATACACTTAAAATAAAGTAGTTTAAGTAAAAAGAGGATTGTCCACCCAATCCCGATATTCGAATAAGTGGGCCACTTTATTGGCCAATAAATCGGGGAAATGTGCGTACATGTGCACACTGGCCTAAGAAATTAAACGAAATGCAATGTTGCCATTTATTTTGCCCATGCATAATTATTTATGGCTGCCCACTGTATTGGTTGGTTTTGGGCACAGCATAGATTATTATTAATTGTATATTATTATAATCTTTATGCTGTGATTTTGGGTTATTTTGGATTTCCATTTACACATAACGTTTTGTGCAGTCTGGCAATACTGCAGTATTTTCTAAAATGTTTCCAGCACAATTCTATAGAAGATCCCCTTTTTTTAAACTAAAACAAATCAAGAGAAAACAAAAAAAAGGAAAAATCATTCAGACGTAAAACAAATGAACACTTAAAATAAATCTGCAGGATGCACCTTTGGACCCAAACCAATAGGAAAAAACCCGCTAGTTGACTGAAAACAGGCCACTTTCCAATCGAGAATAAATTAACATCAATTAGCGCGGCTGCGGGCCTTTGACCGCAATCCTGCCGCAAATCAATAAACCCTGATTCACACTATCAGACACCCAACGACCGGTAAAGACACGATAACGACAAATTTATGTTTTGTTTCCTGATAGTGTGAATCAGGATTAAATCGCCGATCCGAAGCACGGAACTTTGTCGTACGCCACTGACCTTGGCGTCGCATTGGCGAACAACGTCACGCGGTTTCCTGCAAGTTGAAACAGGTCGGCGATTTCACTTGAAAAATGATTTGCGCAGACGCTGCCCGCTTGAAAAACATGGAATGTAGACGAAAATAGTCATGGGAAATGTGCTCAAGGTTACGATTATCAGCAGGTGCGATAGTGCAAAAGCTCTTATCAACATATGGGTTTGCAAAATGAGAAATTGAGCATTTTTTTGCACACAAAAATTAACCTAGTTTAACTTACTCAATGGTCACTTTGAGTGGCCGCTGCAGGAAGATTTGTAGTCGCAATTAGCGCACAAGCAACGAAATAAAACTCGCTAATTTCGCGAAAAATTGACTTAAGATCGGTCGAAAACGCGCCCGTGACAGAACACAAGACACGTCCAGGCAGGATAAAGTTCGCAGGAAAGCTGTCAGCGACTCTTCGCTTGTGCGTAGATATCCGTCCGTCCTCCAAGGATTGGCCAAGGAGGTGGATCGTGTCGTTTCACTTCCACTAGCAGGACTCCTGCAAAATGTGGCGGGGATTGGGCCACATGAGTCACACGCGGCCAATCAAATCGCCATGTTTATTTCGTCACAAATTCTCCGAATGACTCGGCTAAATTCTCTCCAGCCGACTATTCCTGCATGTTGCCAATTGCTGCCTGATAATTATCTATGTTGAATAACCGGCAATTTGGTAAAATCGTAATTAATATGGATGTTTTGTACAATAATTGAAGCAGCAGCATGATTCAGCTTTTGTTGGTAACCTTTCAAGCTGATTGCAGTTGCATAAAGAGCAGGAATTTGTAAAACTGTTTACTGGGTTTTGTCAAGTTTGCAGCAGGTTCTGAGTACATGAGTTTGATACATGATTCTCAAATTCAGAGTACATGAGTAGGTGCAAGGTTTTTCTTGCTGCTGATCCTGCAACAGTTTTTCAAAAATCTGCTCCTCCAAACTGAAAGTTCTCAATAAATATTCGTAATTTTTAATTTGCAGCAAGTAGCGACTTGAAACTTTCACCGCCTATAAAAGACACTACAGTCTAAAAAACATGAAACCTTCGTTCAAATCGGATCAAATGCTGATTCATGTCGCATTCGTAAAATATCCCCCAAAAATGAAAGTTCTCACACAAGTTCAGGATCTCCAAGAAAAATGTTAACTTCTAATGTAGAGCGAGTAGCAACTTGAAATGTTCAGTCTATGAGAGACAATTGCAGCTACAAACCCTTATAAGTTCATTCAAATCGCGTCAGATTTAGATTTCTTAAAAAATTAAGTTCTCAATAAATATTCGTAATTTTTAATTTACAGCAAGTAGCGACTTGAAACTTTCACCGCTTATAAAATACACTAAGTCTAAAAAACATGAAACCTTTATTTAAATCGCCTCAGATGCTCATTCATGTGCCTTTCGTAAAATTTGCCCTAAAATTTTTTTTTTACTCAACGTTTTCGCTCAACTTGAAGACCTAGAAGAAAAATGTTAACTTATAATGTGGACCGAGTAGCAACTTGAAACTTTCACAGTCTATAAAAGACTCTTGCATCTACAAATCCTCATAAGTTCATTCAAATCGCTTCAGATCTGGATTTTTCCGACTTCCGTAAATGTTCGAAAAATTAAGCGTTTTCTAGCAACTGCAGGTCCTTCAATAAAAATTCGGAACTTCTAATCTGTAGCGAGTAGCAACTTGAAACTTTCAGTCTATAAACTACACATCAGTCCAAAAATGGTAAAAATGTTATTCAACTCGCATCAGATGCTCATTCATGCACTTTTTATGTTTCTCATTCATACACTTTTTTTGTCTGGTTCTCCTCGTCGCTTATATAGTTTCTTCCAGGTAACCCAGATAGTTCTCGAAATCTCCACAACAGGTGCGAAACTTCCCGCTTGTCAGTGTCATATTTGACAGTAAATGGGGCTCCCATTTACTGAAATACCATCAATTTCGCTCCCCCCATTCCAAACGTGAGTACCCCAGGCCATTTCCGTTACAATATAAACATCCTCAAAACTTCACTCAAATCGCAACAAATCTGGATTTTTTTGCCATTCGTAAATGTTGATCCAAAAATTAAACGTTTTCAAGCGAGTGCAAGTCCTTCAATAAAAAATTGTAACTTCTAATTTGCAGGGAGTAGCAACTTGAAACTTTCACAGTGTATAAAAGACACGTCAGTCCAAAAACCCTCAACATTTTGATCAAATCGCATCAGATGCTGATGTTTGCGCCTTTTCTTAATCTTAATGCAAAAATTCAAGTTTACACGCAACTGTAAGTTCTTCAATAAAAGTTTATAACGTCTGATTTAGAACGAGTTGCAACTTGAAACTTTCGCATTTTATGTTAGACGCTTGTACCTGAAAACCCTTAAAAATTTATTTAAATCGCATCAGCGGCTAATTTATGCAATTTTTGTTAATGTTGGTCTAAAAATGAAAATGAGTTAAATTTGGAGCCAGTTGAAACAGGTTTTTGGTGATTATTCCACCATTTATTCCGTAAGTTCAAAGGGTCTCCAAACCTTATTTTCACAGCGTCTGTTGGCGCGGATAGAACATTTCTGAACGTGCCAGTTCGGCGTCCTGTCATTTATTTTTGTTCTGGTTGTTTGGTGTGTAACAATGGAAAAATTGAAGTTGTCAATCTAGTAATAATCAATAAAAAATTTTTATAAATCAGCAATCATCCAATCAATAATCTATAAAAAACGAAATAAAAAGGCAAGCAGTAATCCTCAGCGCACTAAAGCACAAAGGTGTGCACAACAGCGTCTAAACAGGAAAATTACACTCTTTTGCAACTGCAATATCAAATTCCTTCCTGCAGATTTTCCATGACTTACTCATGTTTTTGAACAGGAATTTTTCAATTTAGTAAGTTTATTAAAGAGAATACCTAAGTAATTTTTCAGGTTTTTTGGCTACAAATCTCAAATTCCTGCATATTTTCTGAAATTTTGTATGTTTTTAAATGATAAGCTGAAAATTTTTTTTTTTTTTAATGCCGCAACTGTCAGTTTTTGGCAATTTTTCAACTTCACTCTTTTGCAGCTGCACATTTCCCTTTTCTGCAGGTTTCCTGACAACTTTTGCCTTACTTTCCAATCGATTTTGCTAAGGTATTTCACTGCAAGATCTTGAACATTTCACTGTATTACTGATTTCCGCCAAAGCGCAATTCGGGCGTTGCAACGCTCTTGGGAAGTGGGCTGGCCACCGAATCGACCTGATTTTAGCAAAACGTCACTTGACTTTTTTGATCAATTTTTTTTGGCCAGGCAAGTGAACGCCACTGGATCACCTGATAAGTTGCCAATGATTCATCAGCTAATTACGGTTTTGCCAATAGTGCGATAAGGAGGAATCACTTTACAAAGGGGCAGGAAAATTGTTCTAGAACATTTTCAAAAGAAATTCAAACTCATTCGATTATTGCGCCATCGGAACATCCAGTTTCCATAATAAAAACCACAGTTTTATTAATTTACATCCAAAAAGTACTCGAAGTTTGGAGAATGTTCTGGAACATTCCATGCTTTTCACTAATGGTTTCCCGAATGTTCTGGATCATTCAAACGGGGCCAGTTTATCGAGCTAAGGGCACACCATCACCCACAATCAAATAACTTACATCATCTCCAGCATGTTGTTTTCGGTCTGTTGAAAAAATTTCCTCGTCGATTTTCTTCTGCGAACAGTATTTTGAAACAAATTGTAAAAAATCACGCAGTTTTGTGGATGGGAAGTGATGTACGAGTCACTGCCGTTAATCTCGAGCATAGTATTCAGCGCGCGCGAATTTTTACCGGATTTTCCAAAAATCTTCTGAAAAATCGACAATTTTCACTTGTAACCAGACAAAACAAGAACGCTACAACGCAGAGTAGCAGACAAATTACATCTGAAATCGTCCACCTGATAATAAAAAAATGTCCTTGCAGTGTTGCCGATTGTTTTTGCCAGTTTCGATAACAATTTTTCTGATTAACAATTACGGCCAGTATACAGGGTGTGAACGACTTTATCTGACTGATTATTACTGTTTGAACATGAGGCTGGAAACGGCGATTTTAGACATTGTAACGGCAGTGTTAAAAAAAATTCTCCCTCAAACCAAAATTTCACCTCGGAATTGAGTAGCATTTTTCAAATGAGGAAACTTCGTTCTTTCTAAGCTGTAGATTTCAAATTCTTGCAGGTTATTACCAGTTTTTCACGGGCCTTTGAACAAGAGACTGGAAATGGCAATTGCAGACATTGTAAGAGACGTTTTTGAAAAATTTGTCCCTCAAAACTAAATTTTGATGCGGAATTGATTTTATCATTTTTGAAACGACAAAACATCGTTATTTTGAAGGTGCAAATCTCCAATCGATCCAGGTTTTTGCCACTTTTTTACATGTCTTTGAACAAGAGGCTGGAAATGGCGATTTCAGACATTGAAACAGACGTGTTTAAAAAATTTGCGACACAACTAAGATTCGCTTCGGAATTGCTTTTGGCATCGCTTAAATGAGGAAACTTCATTTGTTCCACACTGCAAATTTCAGATTCTTGCAAGTTTTTGGCAATTTGTGACGTGGCTTGGAAAGCAAGACTGAACCTGGCAATTTTAACACACGGTTTTCAAAAGGTACTCTTCAGTGCTGAGTACCGATAGGAAATTGGTTTTGATACCGTTTAAATGAGAAAACTTTGCTCGTTTAAAGCTGCAAATACCAATTTTCTGTAGGATTCTTGCAATTTGCAAAATTACTTTGAAGGCAAGGTTGAACATGGCAATTTAACACAGTTTAACAGCGGCTTTTTAAAAAGTTGCCACGTAATTCTAAGACCCGATGAGAAATTTATTTTGGCACTGTTTAAATGGGAAAACTGTCGTTAGTCTTTTAAAGCTGCAAATTTAAAATTCCTGCAGGGTTTTGGCTATTTTTCGTTAGTTTGAACATGAGACAATTTGCACAAACACTCATAAAAACAAGTGTTTCTTATGCTGTTCGATTTTGGACATGATAGGTAAAACTCGAATAAAACACTTGAAAATGAGGAAAACACTAGAAAATTAAGTGACTGCTAGATTTGTAGTCGAGATTTGGCCAGTTGAAGGCTGAAAGTGTTGATAAAGTGGGCTTGATAGCAATTTTTTCTCAAAGCATTTCGTAACACTAATCTGGATAATAATTTGATGTTTCCATTAAATGACTCAATAATTACTTGCAATCTTTATCAGCCTTTTCATATTTTCCACGAATTGCTAATTGCTTGCCTAAATTCTACCACGGGATGAAATCTGGCAATTTTCTGTTAGACGCGGCAACATGCTGAGCTTTTTACCAGATCGATATACATGTGCTTTTGTCGGCCTTTCATGTCTCAACACGTCAGGACTTGCTTAATGTTGCATCATCCTTTCGGGTGGGCTTTTTGAGAAAAAAAATATCTTGCACTGTTGCCGTTTGGCGTGAAATAGCTCAAGATTGGCGGAAAGTTTTTTTTATACAAAAACAGCCCTGGAAATTAATACATTTATTTGAATTAATTTTACAAAAATTCTTTAAGGGATAATAATAAGGAAATATAATCTAGGAAAACACATACATTTACATAACAATAATGAAACATCCTTTAACCAGCCAAAAATCTGGAGTAAATCCTAGTTTACTAAAGTTAAGTAAGTATACATATAATATTAATGTTTTAAGATATTTTATGTAAACTACGCACAGTTTTACACGGTTTTGTTTTTGAAGTGACAAAGTTAACAGAGCCATTTAACACGAACTGTAAGCACATAATAGTTTGTACAAACCTACGAAAGGTCTACGCACGCATTGATTAATGCAATTGTACAGTGATAATCATAGTTTGTACAGGAAAATTGGCCCAATCTGGTCCCTTTACCGTTTTGCGGGCAATTTTGGATAAGGAAACAAGGCCTTGGTTTTAAATAGAGATATGTAGCTTAATATAATGGTAACAAATCGGGTGGTAGGTAGTTGGAGTCTAGAATTTGGTTTTTCCAAAAATGAAATTGCCGGGTTCGGATGGATTTTCCGACACGAAGAACTGCTTCCACAGCGACTTGAATTGCTCAAAATTCACCTCTTTCTGGCCCTGGAATGATTGAGGAAATTAGCTTAGATTTGGTGCAGATCTAAATGTGCTTTTCTACTCACGCCTGCCATTTTCTGGAACGCTTCGCGACATTCCTGGGCCTGCAGGCCGTAGCAGGAACAAACGCTGGTGAATTCTTCGATATCAATCGAACCGTCTCCACTAGCATCTTCCAGATCGAACATGAAACGCATGTAGTTGTTCTGCCATTCCAAAGCGTTTTCGGGATTTTTTGAGTAATCGTCCCACATTGAGGCCCATTCTTCGACACTCACCTAAAAGTTGATGGGGTCATTAGAAGATTTTTTGAGTGCTTATAAGCCAGTAATTAGAGGGTGTTTCCTTCTAAAATCAAAATGGGTTATTATATGGAAAACCCGACTGAACACGAGAAACATTCTCCATTCCAGCCGGGAATGGAATTTTATGCGCCAAAGTATCGGTCTTTTGGGGTCTTAAAGAAATGAAGAGTGTTGTCAAGATTTGCCTGAAAAACCGTGATGAACTTGGAAATTCTGCTTGTTCCATAAGGAAATATTTGTTCTATGTTTCACAAAAACGACCATCTGCCTCAATTTTCGAAGTGCGAATTTTTCAAATAGAGCTCACAAAGATATATTTTCAAAAATTTCCCAAAATCACTTTTCAGTCTAATTGGCACTGGAGCCTCATCTGTTAAATAGATCCGTCTCTGCTCTATATTAGGAAAAAATTATCACAATCTGCTTAGGACTTCTAAGGGCGAATTTTCAAAATACGGTATTAATACGGGTAAATAAAAATTCGAACATGTTTCCAGGTCTTTCTGCTGCTTTGCTTGGGAACTTGGGAATTTTGCGTATTTCAGTGAGCGATACTTGTTCTATGCTTAACAAAAAGAGTATTTTTCTATCTGCCTTAGTTTTCAAAGAGCAAATTTTTCCAAAAGAGCTTCAATTGCGACTTTGGCATGCGCATTTTCAAACATTTCCTAAAATAACTTCTCAGATTAACCGGCGTTGAGCAATAATCTGTTCAATAGAGTCGTGTTTGCTCTATATTGGAAAATAATTTCCACTCTCTATCTGCTTATGGCTTGTAAGGGCGAATTTTAAAAATTCAGTTTGCGCGGTTTCAAAAGCCACTTGAAGATGCGAATTTTCAAAAATTTCCCCATACACGTTTGCTGTTTCCACAACTTATCCCGGAAATTATCCCATTCAATAGACCGATGATTTCCTTACATTTAGCAAAAATAACAGTTTTCTATCTCTCTATGTTTTCTAAGAGCGAATTTTACAGGTATTTTCTAAGTACAGCATATCATTTAATAACGACTTTTAGATAAGAGTTTAACTAAAATTATTTAAAGTATTTTTGAGTTTCGTATGCGTTGCAACATCATCTATTGAATAGAACGATATTTGCTCTATATCAGGTTTTTCAACATTATCACATTTTTCAAGAATTTCTCCAGATTTCTGTGCAGTCTAGTGAACTTTGAAAATACCTCTATTCAATAGGGTAATATTTGCTCTATTTTTCGCAAAAGCTGCCTCAGATTTCGAAGGGCGAATTTTTCAAATATATCTTACAAAGATACATTTTCAAATATTTCCCAAAATCACTTTTCAGTCTAATTGGCATTGCAGACTCATCTGTTCAATAGATCCGTCTCTGCTCTATATTAAGAAAACATTTCATTACTCTATCTGCTTAGGACTTTTAAGGGCAAATTTTCAAAATACGGCTTGCGCTCAGTCAAGTGCGGCTTGAAGATGGGCATTTTCAAAAATGTTTCTTGCTCTCTGCTCTTTCCGCAACTTTGCAAATTATTCCATTCAATAGAGCGATTCTGTTCTTACATTTTGTAAAAATAACAGTTCTCTATCTCTCTAGGTTTTCTAAGACCGAATTTTTCAAGTATAGCTTAACATTTAATAGCGACTTTGAGATGCCCGTTTAAAAAAAATCCTCAAAGTTATTTTCGAGTTTCGTGTGCTTTGCAACATTATATGTTGAATAGAACGGTATTTGCTCTATAACAGGTGATAATTCCAGCTCTCTGTATGCTTAAGGCTTTTAAAGGCAAATTTTCAAAATTCAGACTGCGCCGTGTCAAGAGCGACTTAGAGACTCACATTTTTCAAGAATTTCTCCAGATTTCTTTGCAGTCTAGTGAACTTTGAAAATACCTCTATTAAATAGAGCGACATCTCTCTATACTGAGTAAAAACTACACTTCTGTATCTGCTTGAAGTTTCTGAGCTCGAAAACTTTCTGGCTTTCCTTTAGTTAAATGTAGTTACGATTTTGTCAGATTTTCCGACCTCAAAATGAGTAAACTTTGGGGCGCCATTAGAGGCAAATTACCTAAACTGGTCGCGCGAAGTTGGCCAAAAAACTTGCAAATAAATCACCTTTTAATCGCTTTCTTCGACTGGTTTCCTTCGCTGCCGCTGTGGAGTTCATTCGGCCACAACTATTGGGTTTTGTGATAAATGCACTGAATTCTGTCAAAAAAGGATAAATGGATAATTTTCCATTTGGAAACTGTGCTCTGGCCGAAATTAACATAAGGAAACCTATTGAGGAAAGTTTCACTCTGGCTACGACTTGAATTCGGGTTATTTCGTGTGAACACGATTTGCATATGGGATAAGTGCATTTAGGTGACGAGAACTACTGGGAAATTAAGTCGAAAATTCCAACTTTAAAGGGCCATATTTTGATGATTTTCCGGCCACACTTTCTAGCAATTCTTTCGCATAAAATACTAACGATTTTAGATTTAAACTGGCAGCCCTTGAACTAACCGGGGGGTGGTTTCCTTGTCGCAATTTTATTTGCACGCAAATTCAGCCCGATGTTGATAAAGTTGATTAACGACCGCACGGCTAATGGCAGGTATTGTAGTCGGAATTATTGCTTTGCCTGCCATATGCAGGCATTTTCCAAGTGCGTTCAATTTAGCCAAAATCAATGTGAAACCAATCGAGAAAACCGCTAAAACTGAGTTTTTCCGGCCCGTAGGCCTAGGTGGAAATAAATGTATTGCTGACGTTTCGCAAACAGGCGTGGCTGGCATCTTCAGAGGTAGAGTCTTTCTGAAAGCCACTGTATACGACAATGAACAGTTTCAGCGATTAATGCGGGCGATTTTCCCTGCACCCGTGCGTTTTAATTAAGCTAAGTGGTGAATTTTTCGTTGGTTTGTGTAGTTTTTTTACGCTGACTGGAAATGTGCTCGGGACATTTACAAATTGTGTCCTTTATCAATCCCATTAGCGGTAAAGGGAACTTTTCCCGTTTAATTGGGCGATATTGCACACTCTCCTGTTCTGTTCAAAATGCCTGAAGTTTTGCCATTTCTTTATGCCAAAAAGCCAGACATTTTTAACTTTTAGCGCCTTATTTTGCCTAAGTGAGTTGAAGCTCACCGCGCCGTCTCTAATTATCTGGAGACCCCACGTTTAGTTTATCTTCTAACCTCAATTTATAAATTTCAATATAAAATTTCAAAGGTTATATTTAATAATTAAGCGTAGGGATTTTTGATGCAGCAGGCAACCGACCATTTTAAGCGGCCACGATCTTTAACCGACGATATAGGGATTGTAGTATACAGAGGCGCTTTGATAATAAAAAAAACTTGTGTGAGTTGCAACTGTGTGCGCCATCTTTCGACTGGCCGTCTCACTCACTTGACCGTCTTGATTGAAATCAGCCCTGGATCTCAACCCTTCCCAAATCAGGATCATGCTGTCGAATGTCTTTTGATACTGGGGACTTCCCTGTTGCCATCCTCGCAAGGAGCAAATTTTCTAAAAAACAACGCATTTAATAAGCTTTTTCCTAGATTATGAAGCAAAAAATCGAGAGCTAAGCTGGAATAGTTAGTTTTCTTACCTCAATAGCCAGCTCGAAGTCTTTCCTGTCGATGGTGCCGCTTTGGTTCACATCTGAAACAGCAAAATCGTTTTTATGCCGGTATAATACTACGTAGTTTTCCCCGATTTATTGGCCAAATACTGAGAGCAATTATTGAAGGTCACCAGGCATGAGTGTGAAGCGTGAAATTGTACAATTACTGTAATTTTCGAAAATTTTCCAGAAATTTTGGGATTATTTATTATATTTATATTATGACGATGTTGGCAAGAAATCAGGTTTTTTTCTTTGTATTTTCTCTCAGATGGTGAATAGCTGTGTCGTATGCAATACGTTCAGCAAATTAATAAGGAAAATTAGTTGCTTCTCTGATGGCATAAGCAATTTGTTGGCCAATAAATAGGGAAAAAGTTCCTAGTGTATAATACCGACATTAGTGTTTATTTTTTTTGTGGAAAATTCCTGCCTAATCCGCTACTGAATGGGGCTTTTAAGGGTTAGCATGCAAAGCACAAGAGCGTTTTCTTTGTTGGAAACATCGCATAATGCGAGTTGTTTCTGTGGGAAAATGGGCGATTTATAAGGGAAATATTTTACTGTCCGAGGCCCATTTCACATGCGGGTGACAGATTTTTCAACATTTTCAGCTCCCGATCGGCAAAGCCACTGTTAATTTGCCCAAAGCGAAAAGTGAAAAACGGTACCATTCCGGTAAGAAAACTGGGAAATTTCAATTTCTCAATAAATAACTGGCATTTTCCAAGTGAACCTCGTCAAGTTTGCCCCACATTTTCAGCCAAATTTATGATAGGTCTCCCGGGGGGTGATTTAGCTGGGAATAAAAGCACGTTTAATTCGTAGTAAAATGCCCATTTTGCGACTGGGAACTTTAAAGTTTGCCAGTGAAAATGTGGAAAAATAAATCCCCTTGTTAGTAAGATGACAAAAATGGGTCGCAATATCGCCAGACATAATCTCGTAAACTCGATTTATATCCCTAGTGGAAAACGCTGTGTTGGGGATGAGTTGGGAAACGACTCTATAAATCCTTAATTTTGAAGGAAAATTGATTAATTTCGCTACAGAAGTGCGCCCATTATTTTCTTATCACTTTAATATGTTTCATGGCTCTTCCTTAAGGTCGTTGATGGGACGACGCCCATCAAACGGATTATTAAAAATGTGTTGAAAACCCTTGGTTTCAGGGTCACATTTCGTACTTGGCCGATCGAGTAGTAAATATTTAATTCCAATATATTGATTGTACCCCAAAAAAATATCTTTCTCCTCGTTTATTTATTTCGCCTCGCCTGCCACTGCAAGGATGTCCTCAGAGCGCAGTGGAGAAAGTTTTCGGTAATTTTGCCAAATCTAACTTACTCAGCAAAAACACGTATTTTCAAAAATTCGCTTAATTTGCTTAGGATTCTGCTGAACATTTGAACTGTTTGATCAATAGAGTCCCGTTTTTTCTATTTTTGGTAAAAATTTAAACTTTCTAAGGGCGTCTAATGCGAATTTTACCTACAGAGCTTGCAGGGTTCTAGTAGCACCTTTGCGATTTGCATGCGTACTTAAAAAAAGTCACTTTTGAGTCCAATGGCCATTGCAATAGCAGGACTTTTCTAGCGCCATGTTTGCGCTATATTTGGAGAAAATTTTAGGTCTCCATCTGCCTAGATTTTTTGAGTAGAGCCTGCACAGTTTTAGGATGCAATAGCGGTTTTCGCACTTTTATCCTTAAAAAAAGTTACTAAAATCACCTTAATGCTTAGTGGGTTTTTTGATTGAACCTTGTTAGCTAGAGCAAGTCTTGCTCGATGTTGGGTAAAAATTGCAGCTCTTTATCTGCATAGAGCGGCTAAGGGTGAGTTATGAATCGGAGGTTGCGTTGTTTAATAGCGGCCGGCACGCATTTTCAAAAAATTGCTTAAATTGGAGTTGAATCTATTGGGGATTATAAATCTGCCAGTTCAATAGATCCATATTTGCTCTATGTTCTCCTTAAATGGTTCTCTTCTATGCTCACAGTGTCTAAGGGTAATTTTTAAAAGTAGAGACCACACAGGGTTAATGGCGTTTCAAAATGCGCTTTCAAAAATTCACTAAACTGGCACTGGCAAAAACTGGCAATTTTAATTACATCTGTTAAATAGAACTGAACTGTTGGACGATAGAACCATGTTTCTCTATATTGGGTAGAAGCTGCAGCTCTATGTGTTTAGAGCTTCTATGGAACACGTTTGCCAGTTTCAGAAATCGCCCAGAAAACTTTGCGCTTTTTACATTTGAATAGAGTGATAGTTGCTCTATATTACATGCAAGTTACAGTTCGCTGTTCGATTAAGGTCTAAGGGCGATTTTTTACATTAAAACTTGCACAGATTTAACAGCGGCTATGAAAATTCAAAATCAAAAATACGGAAATCGAATTCTCTATATTAGGTATAAATCACAGCTTTGTCTAATTAGAGCTCCTTAGAAAATTTTTTGCATATTGGTGGTGCACAGATTTAGCCGCGGCTTCAAGAGGCGCATTTTTAAAAATTTCCAAAAATCTTCCTGCCACCTAAACAACTTTGTATTTACTCTTTTCCAGTAGAGCCATATGTGCCCTATGTTTAGGAAGCAACTACTTAGCTCTATCTGATTAGAGCCTCAAAGCGCGAATAGAGCCTGCACGATTTTAAAAGAACTTTTCAAATGAGCATATTGAAATTTTTTTTCAACCACACTAAAGCCTATTCGACGTTCTGATTTCTGCTAATTCGCTAGATTCAACAGGGGCCTCAACAAGCGCATTTTAAAAAAATTGCAAAAATCATCACCCAGCTTAGGAAACTTTCGAGTTTCATTTTTCAACTAGAGCCATATGTACTCTATGTTTTCAAAAAACTACTGAGCTCTATCTGGTTAGAGCTTCAGAGCGTGAATTTTTGAAATAAGGCCTGCAAACTTGCAACAGTTGCTTCATAGTTAAACTATCTTTGCTGGTTGATCAAAGGCTGCAAGTTTGCTAACTCTTGTTTAATTTACTCACCGAAAAACACATGGAACACATAGAGAAGTTTCTTCTTCCTGAAGTCTGAGATGGACATGTTTGCTAGTCGATTCTGGAAAATAATCACAAGTTACTCTACTACACAGTGATTTGAGGAAATGAGGAAATTTGTTGTTAAAAGCAGGAAATTTCGACAAACTGAAGCAACAATTTAGGCACATTGAGCGACACATACGTACCCCAACAAATAGGTTTCTAGGTATAACGCGCGACATCATTTCACGCAGAATGGCTTTTCCATAATTCAACGTCTCCATTGCCGGCAATGGACAGCCAATTTGACTGTTCAGTAGTCCTAAAAGAGAAACATTTAACACATAAAACACAAAGCAACAGACAACAGTTAGGCGTACTAGACACAAACATTAGGTTCAAATCGTTCAATCTCATTTCTTGGTCAAGGAAATTGCTCACCAAACCAGCTTTAGCAGTATACAATTTTTAACAATAAAGACGCAATTCGATTTCCGCTGAAAATAACAATCATAAAACTTTGTCTTTGTCAATTTCCCCATTTGCTCGTTAGGATCCGTTTTTCCATGAGCCGCATTATCGGCGCGCTAACGCTTTAAATCAGGGAAACTTAAGCTGGATCCAGAAATATGTTGCCAGAACTCGAACAGGAAAATCTCCAGGTTTTTATAGATTAGCATTACACCTTGGCGGGCTCTTTCCATTGCGCGACAAATTAGACTGTTGGGCAAAAAACGAGTTTCCCTTTAGGCCCATAAATCTCCACTGTTTTAATGGATTTTACCTGGATTAGAACGGAAGTCGGTTGTGTTTTTTATTTTTTTTTTCAGTGAGGGCAGACGCTTTATTTGGTGTATTCAGCTAAAATTACTAAGCTTGATCGGCTCAGAACGGGAAAGGGCAAATTTTTCACATAGTCTCAAATGATGAGATTGAGATGCATGCTTTAAAAAAATTTTGCCCAACTTTGCTCTATATTGGGTAATAATTTCAGCTCACTATCTGCTCAGATCTTAGATGGGAGAATTTTCAAAGTAAATTCTTCACAGTTTTAAGTGCCTGTGTTTTTTAAGTGCCTGTTTTAAGCCCCTTAATGTGAGATGCACTTTAAAAACAAAATTAAAAAATATCTAAAAGTTTTAGTCGACATTACACCAACCAGTGTTGAATAGAGCCATATTTGCTTTACGTTTAAGGAAAAATTAGCCGACTTAGGACGTCCAAGGGATAATTTTTCAAATAGAGCCTACATATTTTCAACAAAGGTTTTGTGATGCGCATTTTCAAAAATTTTTAAAAATTGTTTTTGATCTTAGTGGATACTCTCGTTCAGCCAGTTCAATAACGCGAGCTTCGCTCTATATTTAGTAAAAACTCCAATTTGTTATCTGCTGAAGGTTTTAGAGCGCTAATTTTTCCAATTGAGCCTGTGTATAGTTCAACAGCGGTTTCGAGAAAATTGGAAAACTCTATCAAAAAGTTAGTAGACATTCTAATTTCGCCTGCTGAAAACATACATATTTTTTTAATTTTTTTTTAAATTTTCAAAAATTGTTAAAAATTACTCTTGAGCTCAGTCTACAATACAACTGCAACTGTTCAAGCGAGCCATATTTGCTCTATATACGATGAAAATATCAGCTTAGTGTCCGCTTAGGACTTTTTAGGGAAATTTTTTAAAATAAAACCTCCACCGTTTTAACAGCAGCTTTGAGATGCGCATAGTCGAAAATTTTCAAAGTCGTTCTGCAGTTTACTTGGCATTCAAACTTCTCCTATTCAATTACGGCATATTTGCTCTATGTTCGTTCAAAATTTCTGGCCTCTATCTGCCTCGGTGCTCTAAGGGCGAATTTTAAAAATAGGGCTTGCCCAGTTGTAGCGTCATTTTCAAAAATGTCCACAAGTTACCCCGGAGTCAAATGAACAATCCAATGGCCTATTCAATAGAGCCATGTTTGCTCTATTTTCAGAAGAAATTTAAGCTTTATATCTCTGAAGTTTTTCAAATGGCGTCCTTTTTAAACAGAGTCTTGCAAAAATTGAAGTGAATAAAATTAACAAAATTTTGACCTTTTGCACAGGGTTCGGTTTAGGAACTTGCTGTCTTTGTAAGTTTAGTGCCATTCGGAAACCGTCCGAAGCAAACTAGTTACAGGAAATAAGCCAATAAAACAGCAGGCAACCGGCGACGTTTCCTCCAACTATAAAGACGGGCATTATAACTCTAAGCTCCGATTTTGTATTTAGATCGCCCTGCTTTAGTTATCAAATTTAATTTCGTTCTTTTAAGGCCCTCGCCCGAGACCAGACCCGCTTACTCTTTAATTACTTTCAGTTTCGGGTAATTGTAGTCTTCTGTCGAAATATGCCGAAAATAGAATGGTCTAAAAGCATTTCTTTTCAGTCAGCTTCGTCTCGAAACTCGGGAAAATTGAAGCTTAAATCGCGTCAGCCTCTAGAAGACCGTAAAACGCTTGTAAATTCTGTGGATGTTAAAATTCTGTAGTTCACTGTCGTCCGGTCGTCGTCCAATGCTTTTATTTCTCTTTTCCGGCAAAACTGGTTGTCTTATCGCACGTCTACACTTCGGAATACTGAAGAGCCGAGTAATGTTCACTCTACGAGTCGCTTTCGAATTGAATGTTTGATAGCGTATAAAGGTTGATATTAAAGCGAAGATTTACTGCTGAGTAAATTAAAGACGAAAAACAGACGAAACATTGTTAGAGATGGGCTTTAATGGGGTGAATACGATCGGGGTTAGTCTCCACTTGCATACCAGAAGAGTTCCGACTTTAACACCCCGCTTTAGGTTTGCCCACTTCTCCATTTTTTTCGTGCTGAAAATCAAGAAAATATTGCAATTAGCAACAGTGGGGAAAAGGTTCCACCCCTTTTTTAGTCAAATAAAATATGAATTTTCCGATATGTGAGGGCACGAATGCCCTAATCACGTTCCACTTTAATGGCAAAGAATATTTGATGTGAAAGCCTTCATCAGTGGAGAGAGGCAAGTAATCCGATTTTTTTCAAATTTCACTCTCTACTTCGTAATCCCCATTCTCGCTTTAACTGCCAGCTTTACCAGCACCGGGAAAAACGAAGTTTAATAAAGTTAATTAAATCCTTAATTTAGTATCCTCACTATGGGAATAACATATGATTTGACCTAGTTGGGGCGTATTTTCGCGTCTATTTCTGGCACGTTTTCATTACGATATGGAAATTTACACTAAGGTTTCCCACCGAGCTCCGAACGGTTCAAGTTTCTCGCTTAATAGCCGAGAAATAGGAGCTCTATTTGTCGACCGATTCAATGCTCAATTCTTTTGCATCTGATGTTTGCCACTGATTTCAGTTGCTTTGGTCCGGCTCTATTAGAGATTTATTATATAACAGTTTGCTCTATATTTGTTCAAAGTGTCACTGCGATTGTTGATTGTTTAGGATGTTGTTTTGATTGTTTGGGATTTTTCAATTTGCGCTGTTTTTCAGAAATTACTTACTCGAATACACGACATGTATTCAGCTACTATTTCAGATATTCAATAGAGAATGGGTTTTACCTATGTTTTACAAAAGTTTCATTGCACTCAGTGCTTTTGGTGATTTTGGTGGTCACCGTAAATTTTGCAGACTGTTTTGAAGAAGAGAACTAGCGTCATTAATGGATGTAAACCGCAATAGAGAAAACTGCGCTCTACATTTGCTCAAAGTTTCATTAGGATACGTGCTTTTACTGAGTTTCTAGGAATTTTCGAACGTTTGTCTTAAACTTTACCTTTTGAGGACTATTCTAAAGAAGAGCGGTACTCAAAATTAGTGATTGTGACTAACTTGCTATTTACGCCGTTCAATAGCGCAAACTTTTGGCAATATTTTTCGAACGTTTCAATGCGATCGGTTATTTTTCTGATTTTACAGGTATTTTTGAATTTCCTATTGCTAATTCATTTGTCTTTTCTTCTTGTTGTCATTCTTTGTTTTGAAGAACTGCGTTCCTCTAAAGTGGCAACTGTGTCTAAATCACAATTTGCTTCAATGAATAGAACCCACTTTGCTCTACATTTTGCTAAAGTGCGATTGATAGATTTTCTGATTTTATTCGAATTTTTCAATTTACATGTGTCAGCTTCAGTTAGTCCTAAACGTCTCACTTTGCGGACTGTTTTAAAGATGAGTGTTACTCAGAAACCATAATTGTCACTAAAGCTAAGATTTTCAGTCAATATAGAAGACCTCTCGGTACATTTGCTCAAAGTTTCAATGCGGTCGGTGCTTTGGCAAAAGCTGCAGGAATTTTTAAATTTCCCGAGTCCTGTCTGTTCTCAAATTTGCATAGTGTTTTTTTAACGATCGTTCCTACAAATGAGGTTTAGCTACCATAGTTCCATCTCTTCCACTATATAGCGCATACTTTCGTCTATGTTTGCCAGTAGTTTAAATACGATTAGTGTATCTGCTGATTTTTCACGAATTTTTTAAGTGCCAGTTTCCCACTGTGTGTTTGACATAAGCCTTGAACTTTGCACATTGTTCTAAAGAAGAGCGGAAGTCAAAAACAGGAATTGTGGCCAAGTTTACATTTTCACCAATAAATCGAGAAAACTTTTCTTTAAATTTGCTCCAACTTGCTCTGCGATCACTTATTTCGTGGACTTTCCAGGAATTTTTCGGATTTGTTGCCAGATCGTGACTGTCTGAAACTTGAAATCTGAAAATTGTCAGCTATCATATTTCCATCTCTTCCACTAAATAGCGCATACTTTCGTCTATGTTTGCGAGTAGTTTAAATGCGATTGATGCATCTGCTGATTTTCCACGATTTTGTTAGTTGCCAGTTTCCACTGTGTGTTTGTCATAAAATTCGCACTTTGCGCATTGCTCTAAAGAAGAGCGACAGTCAAAAACAGGAATTGCGATCAAGTTTACATTTTCACCAATAAATCGTGAAAACTTTTCTCTATATTTGCTGCGACTTTCTCTGCGGTCATTACTTTCGTGGACTTTCCAGGAATTTTTCGAATTTGTTGCCAGCTCGTGATTGTGTGAAACTTAGCGTTTCGCAGGCTGTATTGAAAAAGAGTCTGGCTTGAAATGAAGATCGTTGACAATTTTTCTGTTTTCTCTAGTGAATAGTGCATACTTTCGTCTACGATGTGAAATTTTTAAATGCGATGGGTGTTTTACCGAATTTTACAGGATTTTTTAGAAACTGTTGCTGCAAATACGTTTGTCTTAAAACTTGGCACTTTGAAGACTGTTTTAAAGAGGGGCGTTTCTCAAAAGCGGTAGTTGTTCAAGTCAGTAGCGCAAAGT